TTTTCAAGCATGCAATAGCCTGCTTAGTTCTACAGCCTTATCTATTCTCCAAAGTGGAGCAACTCACTCCATTTTACCATTACAGGTACTTCAGTGAAAAATCTGAGCAACGGAAAAGCATATAAAATTGATTTTAGGGCTGTCAGAACTCTGAATAATTCTTTCCATTTGAGACCAGGATTAGAAAATTTGAGTGACCTGTTACACAGTTCTTAAATGGGTATGAATCTAGGTCATCGGATTTTCCCAAACTACAATGTCTTTCTGGAGGGGGGAAAAAGGGTGGGAGGTAGATATTCTACTGGGACCAAAGAAATTAGAGGTTAAATTTCCAATACTAACTAGAGTGGAAAGCTCACATGATTCTTAATCCAAGCTACCTTGTTGCCAATCAGCTGAAAATGAGAATCTCTCATTGTCCAGTAATCTCTCTGAGACACGTGATTTTAAAGCAAAGCTACAGTATAGATCTCTCCTTTTACTTCCGAACCCAGGTTAATGTTTGGTGTTTTTAAAATTGTGTGCAAGGGACTTCCCTGGTGGTCCAGTGGTTAAGACTTCATCTACCAGTAGAGGGGTTGCAGGTTTGATCCCTGGTCAGGGAGATAACATCCCACATGCCTTGTGGCCAAAAAACTAAAACATTAAAAAAGAAAGAAAGAAACAATACTGTAACAAATTCAATAAAGACTTTTTTTTAAAAAAGGTAACTATGTTTAAAAATAATAATAATAATAAAATGTGTTCAAGAATTCCCTCTGAGTACTTTTTAGCACTAGGTTCCACACAATCTGGGCTGCCCTGGTGGCTTAGACAGTAAAGAATCTGCCTGCCAACGTAGGAGACCCGGGTTCAATCCCTGGGTTGGGAAGATACCCTGGATAAGGGAATAGCTACCCACTCCAGTGTTCTTGCCTGGAGAATTCCAGGGACAGAGAAGACCCACCATGGGGTCTCAGAGTCGAACACAACTGAGCGACTAACACTCATTTTTCATACAATCTGGCCAGTTGAAAATGTTGTTCAATTGAACACAAAACAGCACACAGTTCCTCTGGTGGAAGAATTATGGCCTTCCTATCTTTTCATTCTAGACTGACTCACAAAGGATTAAGTAACTGGCACAAAACGATTAAAGGAAAGGAATTTCACCAAGGCCTCCTCATTCAATGGAGTCAGAGGACAAGCAGCAATGTATCATGTCTGTTAATTACTAAGCAGTCTAAGATATATTGAAAGTAATAAGGAAGAAAAAAATTCTAAATGATTAACACTCATCTAAATCAAACATGTGCAAATGTATAATTTTACAGATAGTTAGTTCATCAATGCATTTAATTCTAAATACAATCAGCCTAAATAAATAAGACTGCTAGGGACTGAATATTACTAAATTTCAAAACCTGCTGTTAGGGATTGTGACAGAATTAAATAGCACTGGCTGAGCATTTTTAAGTAGTTGTCCATCAATGGTTCTGAGTATGTATGGGGCTTGTTAAATTTAAAAAACAAGTAGATGTTACATCTGAAACTTAAAATTGAAAGAAGAAAAAGTGTTCTACAGTGACACCTACTGGTGAAGTGTGATGTGGCGGCACAACATTATTAGACAAAGGAAACATGTTTACATCCCCTAGCAAGTTAGAAGCTACAGGGAAAGACTGAATGACATTGCAAAGGGAAAATCTAAACAAAAACAATATATATACCAGGGTCTGCAACTACAGAATAAATCTAAAAGCACATCATGATCCCTCTTGATCAAAGATCGTCAAATCAATAAATCTGAAAGAGGTTTCTCTTGGCCCCAGTTGGTCAAGCAAGTCAGTTTTTTATGTGTGAGTTAAAGGTAAGATAACTTTCCCAGCGGTGCAGTGGTAAATAATCTGCCTGCAATGCAGGAGGCTCAGGGAATCATGGGTTTGATCCCTTGTTCGGAAAGATCCCTGGAGTAGGAAATGGCAACCCACTCCACTATTCTTGCCTGGAAAATTCCAAGGACAGAGGAACCTGCCAGGCCACAGTCTACAGGGTTGCAAAGAGTCAGACATGACTAAGCGCGCACACACACACACACACACACACACACACACACACACAAAGGCAATATGTTCAATTTACTCACACTTTTTTCATATTTTAAAGAATAAAACTGGAAAAGGCAAACCTGAGCTCTGCAAAAAGTTAAGCATTTTCTCAGTTTTCAATTTAAGTTGAAGGCTTAAATAAAAAACAGACACCTGCTTTAAAAATCTAACTTTTATATAAACTTCCAAGTTTCAGTTTGAAAACACCACTTTTGAAAAAAATGACCACCAAGATCAACAAAAGACCAGATAATCACATTTTCCCTAAAATGCATGTTGCAAAGGACTGGGTCCTTTTCCACTCCACTTTCACACACAAATGTTAGAAATAATAATGCTTAATGTGACTAGTGTCATCATCTCCTTCAGAATCTCAATGCAAAACAACTCAAAAAAACATTAGTTGAGCCCATGTACTTCCTCTAAAACTAAGATTTTCAAACATGCTGTTTCAAACACAATTTTAGTCAAAAGAAAAGTTAACTGGTGATACGATAGGAAGCATATTTTTCTTTTAAAAACCAAGTATAATATGCATCAACTTCGACTCCAAGATTCCCATAAAATCTTACAAATTAGAGAACCTAAAATCCAGGAGATGGTGAGGGGCAGCAAGGCCTGGCATGCTGCAGTCCATGGGGTCGCAAAGAGTCAGACACAACTTAGCCACAGCACAACAAAAATCCAGCACAATGGTCAAATGAATAAGAGAAAACCTGGTTTTAGTCTTGGATCATCCAATAATCAGTTGGGTTTCCAAGAAGTATATAACCTTTAAGGAGTCAGACAATCTTTCCAGGCCTCATGGTAAGGCCGCAGCCAAGATTCCAGTTTCTGTGATTTCCCCAGCACGTGGTATTGACTTGGGCATCAGTGTGTACACATCAATGACAGCAACCAAACAGAAGTGGCTCCATCTTTCCAGTATCCTATGCTATAAGGAAGCAATACAAATATGATCACACATTCACACTGCAGCGCAACTGCTTACAACAGAGAGAAACCTCCTTTCATCTCCTCTGCCTTCCACGTGGCACACAGTCAGAACTGATCACCGACTGAAAAAAACACAGCTGCGGAAAAAGAATGCTCGTTATGTAACAAGCGAGACTCCAATGTCAACTCTCTGTGGAGATTTTTCTGGTAATACAGGTATCTTTCTCACTTCCACATTCTCTTTTATACACTATGTTTCACAACCATTACAGGATCAATGTGTAAAATGCTTAAAAGGCTGTAGATCCTCAAATAGGATGGAACTTGCTCTAAAAGGCTGGAATATCAAAGTTGGAATGTGTTCATTTTGATCCTAACATTTCCTATATGTATCACCTACCTGTTAAAACTGATTCGGATCTTGAACCACTGGGGATGGGGATACAATACACACTTTAAATGCTAATTCTCACCAACAACGGGGCATTTAATAAAACAACTGCTTCAGGTATAATCAAACCTCTCTACCCAGAACTGCAAAAGGCAAAGTGGAACAAAGATGATGTGCTTTGCTTGTAAATGGCTACAAAAACTTTTGAAAACAACATTAAAGTGTTGTTCATCAGCTTTCTCTACTTGGAGCTTAAGTTGCATGAGTTCTTCTCATTTAGATATTTTAAAAAGTGTAGCCAGAGCCCTTCCTTCATCTACGCTTCTGCCTCTTTAAGTCAACTGACTGGCTTTTAAGGTCAAGTGACAAAGGAACACAAAGTTTACTTATGCCAAAGGTGAATTGTTATGTTTTCTATGGAATTCAAACTCTATCTTTTTTCTCTACAATACAAAATATTAGTTCTCAGAGTGTAAATTTATTTAATTATTTCAACTGCACTATTTTCATCATTTAAATTTAACTATTTAAATTCATTCACTCATCAAATAATTTTTTATTGAGCATCTATTAATGGCCAGACTCAAAGAGTTGGGAAAAGGAATCAACCAGAGGGAATGAATGAGACAGGAAGGCAATACACATGAAAACAAATAATTTCAGATAGTGGTAAGTGCTATTTAAAAAAACAGCTCTTTAAAGGATGACTATAGTCTTCTGATTTACTTTTTTGATACAAGTAAATACATTCCTTGCAGACCTCAGGAAACAAAGAATCTAGAATCATTTTAAAAGGGAAAGTTTACAGCTCAGATTCAATACACATGTGGATTGCAGTTTTAATATCCTAAATATGAGTCAAAGGAAGTATAATAGAAACGAGAACCACTGAAACATGAGATGAAACAGATTTAAAACATCTGCTCTCTCTCTCTTTGAGGGATAAGCACAGGAGGAGAAAGGTGAATATCTTTTTTTTTTTTTTAAGAGAAGACAAAGGGGAAAAAATAGAGAAGCTTGCCCAGTATTTATGGTATTCTGTGATATTTAAAGGCAACTACAATACACGATAAGAAAGCTACATAAAGGCAAAAATATTTAAAATAATCTTCAAGAATATTCAAATCACTCCCCTCTCCCCTGCCCCGCACACACATCCCAGCAGCCTTATTCTCCTTTGAGCTGCACTTAAAAGCTGCTGGTTTGGCAAGAACTTATTTTCTGACTTTGGCTCATTTCCAAACTCTCCAAAATATGCACGGCCAAGGTAAGCTGTTTCTCTTACGCCTATCTTCAATTCCACGGCGAGCCAAGAAGGAGTGGATCGACACAATCTCCATCTCGGCTGCGCACTGCAAGGTGAGGGATCGGCCGGGAAGGGGCTCCCAGCTCGGCCCAGCCCCTCCAGCCCACCCGCCAGGCCCACCGAGCACGGCCTCCGCCCACCGCCCGAGAAGGACACAAACGGAGGATGGAGGAGCCGCTCGGCGGCATCTGGGGAGGTGGACCCGCAGCGCCCACGCCTCCCCCTCACGGAGCCCCATCCTCGGGGCCACCCCGGACCCCGACTCCGGAGCGCCTCTGACCTCTCCGGGCCCCGGGGCTGCTGCTGCCGCCGCTGGTGCAGCCGGTCGGACTACCAGAGCTGCTGCTGCTGCTGTTGCCGCCGCCGCCCTTGGCATTCTTGCGCGGGGCCATCGCGCGCACCGCTGGAGCAGGCAAGGGTGGGGGGCTCCCTCTGGCCGCGGGGGGCGCAGGCGCTGCAGCGGGTGCGGGCTGCGGCTCCAGAAGCTGCACGGGTGTCTCCGCACCGCCCGCAGCGCCTCCGAGGACTTTTCCCCCGCGTGCCTCCGGCGCGCGCTCGGCGCTCGCGTGCTCCGAGCTGGTGACTGCCCTCCCGGCGCGAGAGCGCGCGGCTCACCCGCCCTGAGGCCACGCCCCCGTCAGGCGAGCCCCACCCCTCCCCGCCCACAGAAGACTGAGCGACGGGGTATACAGCCAGTCACAAGGGTCTCTGTGAGGGGGCGTAACCGTGCCGCGTTTCCCCGCCCCGCTGCAGGCTTAGGGCTGCTCTGGCGCGACGCTGCGGCCTGTGAGAGCCAGCAGCTTTCGACTTTCCAGTCTGTCCTGGTCCTTTGGAACGTGGCAGACGTGGAAGGCAAGAGACTCTCGCGAGCTTTGGCGGACCCTGTACAATGGGGATGGGGCGGGGCGGGCGACACGTGTGCAGCGTCTGGACTAGAGTTCACCCTCTCTTGGCGTTTCGCCGGGAATTTTGTTCGTGTCCCACTTCCCTGTGCACACAGAGAGCTAAGTGAGGCAACGTCCCTTCTTGCGAAAAAACTATTTGTCAGTCTTAATATTACGACATTTCTGAAATGGTGATGTTAGAACTAGCTAAATGCTTAAGCCGTACGTAGTTGGTTTTAAAGCAGGATGTCACTCCATTTGTGCCATCAGCGTTTTCAGAAGATCTTAGTTAAGAGGTGCAAATGTAAAGCAAAAAGTTCATTTCCTTGCTCTGCTCCGCACCCTCTATTTGAAATCTCTCTCCGCAGCGCTGATGTCTTCATCCCTCTCCCTTGATGTCCCCACCCTGGGTCCCGCCATGCAGGGGCAGGTAGTCTAGGCCTTCAGCTGCTTCTGACCGCACGTGGTCTTAAGAATATCTGGGTCCCTGGATGAGCCAGATAGGAGCTTGAGATTAGGCACATCGTCATCATCATCTTTGTGCCGCAGTCGCCAACACGATGCCTAAGGCAACAGACAAGCCGGACCTGTTCAGTGATTTGATACATTTCTGGTAACTGCTGAACACTTCCCCCCCAGTTCTTGACCGCGTTTCAGAGCACCGCCTGGGCGTGCCTTAAGAGGGCCGAGGAACCAGTCACGGTTGCAGAGTGCACCTGCTCTTATTCCTCTTCTCCAGTTCTGCCACCCGCACTGGCAGATCCTTGGCCTCACCCGCCTCTTCTGGATTCACAGAAGCCCACGGGAGGGTCGCAATGCATAATGAGAAGGCCTCTCTCTCCTTTTTGTGAAATTATATTAGATAATTATCAAGACAGAGCAGGGTAGCAGAGCTCACCAGGGTTTGTGCTGAAGCAGCTTGTTCAGTTTTTATCTCATGGCATCTTCTTCTGCCTTCACCCACCCTTTCTCTCATCCAAATCCCTTAACCATTACTTCATTGGGTGGAGGGGGGTGCAGAGCTGGATTAAGAGACAAATCTAAGTGAAAGAGCTTAATATATAAGTATAATGAGAAATGAGCTGAGCAGACAATGCTCAAGATACTTGAACTCTTAAATTCTGACAAGAATCCTTGTGGTGTCTGTTTCTTGGGTGTGAGGTAAATCAGGCCCAGAGAGGTTAAATTAAGTAGGTAACAGAGCTAGTAAGTGATGGAGCAGGGATGCGATATGGTTCCATCTGGCTCCAGAGTCTATGGTCAGAATTCTCCTTCCAAGGACAGGTTCAAGTTTGAGCAGAGAATGTCTCACTGGCTCCTTGTTCTCTTAGCAGATGTCTCCTGGAAGCCTCCTTGACCCAACTGCAAAGATAGGTCTGAAAAAACCTGATGGTGGTTATTTAGCAAGGTACACCTCTTTGAGGAAATCAAGTTTCTCTGATTACAGACTGCATGATGTCATGGAATGATGTTTTGCAGAAACCATCACTGTATTTCAGAATACAGTGAAACCATTTTCCTGTATTTCCAGCAACCAAACCTGGTACCACTGATAAGATACATAGCTGGGTATCTTAGCCAGTACCAGACCAAAATAGAGGCTTTGTAAACAGATATCACGGGAAGTTAGAGGTTTCCTGACTTCATCCATGTAATGTAAGAAGCAGCTACAATGATGTTTCTATGCTCACTGTTATAAAATAAAACTTGCAATAGTGTTCATGGCATTCCCCGATGGTGTAGCAGGTGAGGAATTCACCTGCAATGCAGGAGACACAGGAGATGTGGGTTTGATCCCTGGGTTGGGAAGATCCCCTGGGGAATGAAACGGCAATCCACTCCAATATTCTTGCCTGGGAGATCCCATGGACAGGGAAGTCTGGTGGGCTACAAAGAATCGGACATGACTGAGCGACAACACATACAAACACACACAAATAATGTTAGTTTATATATTTACAGCTGCATATACTTACCTATTATGAGTATTAAAAAAACACAAAGCTTACCTTGGACCCATGAATTTCTTTACAGAAGTCCTTTTCTCAATATTAAGGTGGAGAAGGTTAGGAAGTCAAGGTACCTTTGAAATTAAAAGGTTGAAGCGCTCCTTAACAGGAGCCTATTCTCATTTCTGTGGTTTCTGAGTAAGCTATGAATGAACCCTGGGTGAAGCAATGTTAAAAGGACCATAAAGACAAGACTTAACTAGGACAATGTATTAAAATATTAACTTAATAAAGCTTTTGAACTAGGTCAAATATGCCTTTCAGATATTTCCATAAACTTTCCATTGGCTTCACCACTGGGATTTGAAAGTGAGAACCTGAGGACAAGATTTGTCCTAGTTGTTTTTTTCCCTCATGTTGATCCTTCACAATCTCTAGTTAAATGCTTTCCAAATTAAATATTTCTGGACTTATGTAAACCTATTATTTTAAAGTTGCATTTTACCTGCTTCCTAGAAAGTGGCTCTGATTTACATGCAATCTTCCTAATGTAAAACTTTATTATTGCAAACTAAAAATAAGTATTTCTCTATCATTATTTATCATAGTAAATTCTGCTCTAGTGAAAAAAATGAATGTCAATGGATCATGATGATTCAGTTGTGTGTTTTCATTTTATATTAGTAGAATGTGTTGCAATGAAGGACATGTCTGTAAATACAAGAACACTTTTAAGGCATTCTGTACTCAAAGTGTTCTCAAAGCAATTATTTCCATATGAGTTATATCTCAACAAGTAAGTAAACTGTCATTTTCATCAAACAGCTTGACTTTATATTACTATAGAAAAAATGAACCTGGCTAGTGTCTATCTTATAAATACATGGAATGAATTTCTATAAGAAGTCATTTTAAATCTAGTCAAAAATAGATCAGAATTGGAAATACTGCATTGTGATACAGAAAAATAATCTGAAAACATACTAGCTAAAAAACCTATAGTTTCCTTTTTCATTTCAATTCTTTACAATTTCCTTCAGAATTTGTGGTATTTCATGCCAAATTCTCTTCCTAAAAAACAAACAAACAAAAAATAGCATCTATTCTCTATAAGTAATCTATCATCTATCATCTATAAGTAATCTATCATCTATAAGTACAGCTATCATCTATAAGTAATAACTATCACTAGGTCTTAAGTTTCCTAGTCTAAGGAAGTAATAGAATTAATTGATTCTATTCACATCTAAAAATTAAGACCAGAAAGGAACTTAAGCATGGAGAAAAGTCAAATAATTAGAGAATAACTACTGATTATAGGCCTGGTAATTGTATGGTATATTAAAGGAAATATTTGTGTGATTTAGGAGTCTTTAGAAAGTACTGGAGAAATCAAGAAAAGAAAAAGGAAGTGGAAGGGTTCCAAAGATTCAGTTTATTTTCAAAATAATTTTACTTAAACTATAGTGGCCATAAGGAGGTGTAAATAGGTCCCTTATCCAAAAAAAAAGTATCCTGAAGCTAGTTTCTAGGATCCTCCAATTTCATCAAGTCTGGGTACATAAAACAGATGTATTTGCCTTACAATAAATAGTTATTACCATATGCAATCAATTAGCCAACTTAAATTCTTAATGCTGTTGTTTAGTCACTGAGTCCTATATGACTTTTTGGCGACCCTATGGACTGTAGCCTGCCAGGCTCTTCTGTCCATGGGATTTCTAAGGCAAGAATATTGGAGTAGATAGCCCTTTCCTTCTTCTGGGGATCCTCTCAACCCAGAGGTCAAACTTGAGTCTCCTGAGTTGACAGGCAGTCTTTACCACTGAGCCACCTGGGAAGCCCTGAATTCTTGACACCTGATGGAAAAGCATGCATACTTTACATAAAATTATTATTGGCCCAGCCCTCTTTATACTGTCATCATTCTGACTTGAACCTATTCTGCAATTTCATAAGCACATGGTAAACATTATTGCTGCTGCTGCTGCTGCTGCTAAGTCACTTCAGTCGTGTCCGACTCTGTGCTACCACATAGACGGCAGTCCACCAGGCTCCCCCATCCCTGGGATTCTCCAGGCAAGAACACTGGAGTGGGTTGCCATTTCCTTCTCCAATGCATGAAAGTGAAAAGTGAAACTGAAGTCGCTCAGTCATGTCCGACTCGTAGCAACCCCATGGACTGCAGCCTACCAGGCTCCTCCGTCCATGGGATTTTCCAGGCAAGAGTACTGGAGTGGGTTGCTATTGCCTTCTCCGAAACATTACTGAGCCTGTACCAAAAAAATAAATCCTAAGAGACTGTGCTAGAAATGTGCTAGCATGGAAAATAGGGAGTGTCTCTGTACCAATGCAACAAGATTTTATTCACCTAAAGGCCACTGTAATATATTTGAAATTCTACAGCATTTCTTTATTTTAAGAAGTATGGTATCCATTGCTTTTTAAAGCAGTTGTTTATCATTATATGATGACTGCACACTAGTAGAGCTGAGGATTCTCTAATTCTTCATGGAACAGCTTCAGCACTGACTTCATCACTTGATGAATTCATTTCTCTTGGCAGATCCCTTTGAGTTAGAGACAGAGACACCAATATTCTAGATGTTCACTACAGCTATTCCTCCCAGTACCAGAAAACACATCTATCTAGTAAAACAGTGAACTCATTTCCAAGAAGCTGTGTCAAATTACAGGATTCTGTTTTCTTTGCTTGTTGATGACATCCTTGTGAGTGTGTTAGTCG